GAGTGGTTGAAGTAAAATGCAGCATCCACGAACTTCTCACCTATCACACATTACCGTCGTAGCGGGAGGGGGGTAAAATGTTCAGCTGTGGGTTATGCCAAACGTGGCGGCCGAGTCAACGCTGCAAACACGAGTAACGTAAATTTCATCAGGAAACTGTGACAAGTCATGATGTCCAAGCTGCACTTCAAACTGCCATACATGTTGTTTTCATTTAATACATTATGAACTTTAGCAGTGGTTAGCAGCAGTTAGCAGTGGTTAGCGGCAGTTAGCATTGATGTTTGTCACAGGATAATGACATCATCCTGGTTAGCTAATGCTAACCGCTGCTAATACTGCTGAAGATGACATTCAAAACGTGTTCAAAGCTAAATTACGAAAATATGTTAGCAGTGGTGGGCACAGTTCCCCTAAAGGACTAAAGCACTAATAAGGGAAATAATTTCCTGATTAGTGGCTTTAGAAGCACTAACTGAGGTCTTTAAATGTTATTGTAATGTTAACAGCTGGTGGTGAAAACTGATGCACATTTTGTTCATATATGCACTCTAAAAATGAAATGTTGGATTTACTTAACCACGTTATGTTACCTGGTTCCACTTAACTGAGTTGAGTAAATTCAAAGCAACATATTCATGTTCTTTGGCTAAAAAACTGGTATGTTGCTTTGAATTTACTCAACTCAGTCAAGTGGAACCAGGTAACATAACATGGTTAAGTAAATCCAGCATTTCATTTGTATAGTGTGTATCATTTATCCACAAGGTCAATATATTGACAAAATATGGACCAGAATACGGCTGTGGAAGTCAATGATACATCTTCAGAGAGCAACATGGCAATATGTGACTCATGTTTTCTGTTGAAGAATGTTCATGGGTTGATTGCATTATTTTAGTGCTTTAGAATTAGCTTTTACTAAAACTTTCAGTGCATTAGTGCTTTAGAATTAGGGAACCTAAATATTTGAGTTAGTGCTTTAAGGCTAGTGGAACAAATTTTTAGTGCTGCCCACCACTGTATGTTAATGACATTTTTAAACATTTTTTTTTTACACTTGGCACCCCATAGAACGTGCATAATTTTAACTCTAAATGTAATTTTATAACAAATGACAATAAATTATTGGATGACAATACTGAGTAAAAATCAAAATGGCTGTGGGATGAAATTTAAAATCTGATGCAACAAACTCAGTTCATTCAGTGGAAGAGTTTTAGTTTTTATGAGCCGAGTTTCTCTTTTAAACATTGTTGATCTAAGATTTAACAAACAGTGCTTTTAGTGAAATCTAAACGAGTTGTTGTCCTTTTTTATTCAGGACAACATAATTGTACCCATTAAATAATGTGTGTTAAAGCAAGGATACTTCCAAAACATGCAGGGCAGTTTGCCTTGAGGACCAGGGTTGGGAAACACTGATGTAGGTTGTAGAAGTCTAAACTGACAGCAATGTAAAGGATTTGTAAATTAGCATTAGCAAGGACCAACATGAGGAAGAAATCCATTTTTGATCAGACTCACCAAAGTCAAAATTAACTATTTGTTCCTCCAAACAGACATCATTCGCTATCTACAACAGGTAAGATGCTAACTATTCAAATGAGCCCAGTTAAAACAAAAGCTAAATGTTTCTGGTTGAAATTGACACAACTTGTTGAAGCAAAGTGAGATTTTTGTTTTAATATGAAAGTATTTTCACTCCCTGACTAAAACTATGAAGCTAACAGAGCATTAGATAGGCTTAAGACAAACTATTAAACATGTTCAGCTTTTCCCAAAGACTCAATATTGGAAGTAAAACATTTCTTTACACAGATATGCTGAAGGTGAGAAACTGAAGCTGAGGTTTGGGACCTGTGTGTGTGCAGTGCAAGCGTATCTCCTGTAGTATCCGTAGTCACAGGTGGTGTCTTCCAGGCAGAAGCTGGCCTTGTGGCCCTCTGCCACCGACCTCTGAGTGGTGGCATCCAGCAGGTCGTAGTGGCTGAACTCGTCCATGCTGTGGTAGTGTCTGTGAATTAGCAGCAGAAAACATAATTAACATCACAAGATGTTTAATTACTGATTAATATGTGATTTCTTTTTGAAGTGCTCTATGGTTAAAGAAAATCAGGTGGTCAGTTAGTTACAGGGATCTGAAACACATTGGCTCTGTTATCTACAAGAAAAACAGTCTGGACTTTAACAGCAGCTCACTCTCCAAACACTGACAAAAAAACCTATACAGACCGGAACAGTTTGTTGGATCTTCTCCAAAAGCTTTTCATCTTGGGGACCAGCCCAGAAGATCTTTTACTTCACTACATAACTATGGCCTGAGGTAGTTTTAAGTGGAAAAAGAAGGTAGATGTTTGAAGCAGAAATGCCTGCAGGTTTCCTGCAAGAAACATTCTTCTGAGGATTTATTTAAACCTCATCTGGTCATAAATTAATCGTCTTTAAAAGTCAGCTGAAGGTCAGTTTCCATATTTGTTGGAAAACTAAAAACTGTTTTATTCTCTTTATACTAAAACCAATCACATACCAATTAATAAATAATTGAATCGTTCCGGTCTTTAAAAGTGAGGTTCTGTGGACAAATTTGAGGAATTATTATTGTTGTCAATAACTTTTTATGGGCCAAATGTTGGAGCAATAGAGCTGAATTCTGAATGAAGTGATGAGCTAAAGGCTAGTCTGAGCGGGGTCAAAACTAAGTGAATCTTCACACCGCCATCGCTTTCATCTTAAATTACATTAAACATATGATGATACTCTTGCAGGAAGTGATCAAGTCTGCACAGGAAGTGCTACAGCTAGCTACTGTTGCTGCTGTTGCACAGCCACATGACTGCAAAATGTGAAACTGGCAGTGGAGGAAAAGGTCATAAAAAATCTGCCTACACCTTGTGTCAATACCAGGCTCAGTTTTTTTCTTTCTTTAGATATTTTTCATATCTATTGTGTAAGTTTTGAATGTTTTATTTGTTTTTTTAATTGTTTTTATTGTGTTTTATTTTATTTTGTGTTTTTATTGTGGTTAGC